ATCATATATCCGTATTAACATATAAAAAATTAGACAAATTAACATAGATGCCTTATTTTATTAATTAATAAGTAAAACATATGTCCATTGGAATATGAGGATTCGAAACCTTGGTGGGGTAATGAGTATGACAAGTTGAGGCGCTTCTTGGAGTGGTTTGTAACCATTGGTAATGGTACAGTTGATGGAACGAACGACAGTTGTGTTGATATCGACATTCCCAACAATATTCTTCTAAAATCACAAGGGGATCATATTGCTACTATTGTTGGAGTACTTACACGATGTTCAGGAGTTCAAGCGACGATCTTAGCTATCTATACTCGATCCCACATTTGATGTTGTTCAGTCCGTTAATGGAACATGAGTTCTTTGAACTCATATGAGGGAATGTCTTATTTGAGTTCGGACACCCCTTGCAAGTCAGAGTTGGATATGACTCTTTTTAAAATCTCATACTCCTAAATTTCTCAATGGGATTAAGTGCTCGGAACTTTCGTATTGCACTAGAGGGTCCACACTCAAGTGATGCTATTCAAAAACATTTATCACTCTATAAGGTTCTGTAACAGTACAGATGGTTATTACTAAGCTCAGCAATCATGTCACCGAATGTCGAATTTTCTAACTGATGTCAATGTTGGTGATAAGGTTCTTATTTCTAGGCTACAATCATACCATTTTATCTGAGGGTACAATTCAAGTCACTGCAAGCAGTTTCCTCTCATGGTTTCATATGATATGACAATTAATAGAAGTTAATGTCAGTCTATGTCGCATGTCGGCTTCGGTCATATGCAGTTGTAGGTGGCTCTTTCCATCGTCACGAATCAGAGGAGTTTGAAGATAATAATTTGTAGTTATGATAATTTTGACGATAGGAAAACAACTAAATTGTATATAAATAAGTATTTAATAATATTTACATTCAATTTCCTAAATCATTTTTTTTCATTAGTTAAGCTATAATTTTATTTTTTGTATTTTTATTACTTTCTCATTTATTATATCGTGGGTTAAAACTAGTGGAGTATGAATTGAAGGTTAATGAATAAAGATTCCTAATTATGAGGACAATTATGAAATGATAAGAGAATATATTGAAATATTCCTTTATCTCAGCCGTTCACACTCGGCTACAGTACACAGCCCCACTAAAGTCTAAACGTGAGCCAAATTCCTTTCATACGACGATGATTTTGGGCAGCTTGCAGCCGATTTAAGTCGGCTTGCGTGGGGAAGATATTTGTTGTGATTTGGTAAGGATTTTGATGTGTCGGATAAGACCAAAGTGAGATTAGGCCACTTCAACATTACGACTTTGGTTTTTAACTCCATATTAGTACTGCAATGCTTAAGGTCATTTATCCAACCTTATGATCATTTTCTTTATATATTAATTCAAAACGCGTTGAGTCTACGTTACTGCTTCTGGTGCTTCGTAATCATATGTGGTAAAATTACATGCTTCATTATTAGGTTTGGGTAAATTTTAATTTAATTCCAAAAAAAAAATAATAATTAGGTTCAGATTACCATAAATGTGTTGATTATTTATGGTCATGTTACATGTATTAATTGAATTTTAATATCATTCCTTATTACAACTATTGAATTGTATATATATTTAAAAAGTTAATAACTTTTGTATTTTTTTATCAGTTTTACATATGTAATATATCAAATTAATCTTCTTCTGATGAGCTTCGATTTAACATCCATATTGTATTTATAAAAAAATAATTTATATTTATCTTTATAACAATAATATAATTATTTTTAATATTAATTAGAAAACTAAAATTATTTATCAACTAATATATTTATATTTCAAGAGTTATATGATATAAGTTATAAAAACTAATATAATATAACACATGTAAGTCATAAGTAACACATATCATTCTAAAATATATAGTAATATATTTTTTTTGTAAAAAAGTAAACTAAATTTAATATAGTTTTCTCATTAATTTTAAAATTTAAGAATACTTTTTTAACAAGCACCCGTGTAATACACGGGTGTTGTACTAGTTATATAAATGAATAAAGAAAAATGTACGAGATATATATAGTATGTGACCTGTGCGAGACACGTGATATATTTATTTGGGGATTATTATACTACTAGTACAACGCCCGTGTATTACTCCGGTGTTTGCTATTTTTTTTTTTAAAAAATAAAATCAATGAGAAAAAAATAGTTGAACATTTAAGTATCTTTTATAATAATATATATTATTATATATTTAATATAACACTTTTTTATTTGTGCGACTTACCTGTATTATATTATAATAATTTTTTTAACTTAGAACATATAACTACATTAAACATAAATATATCAATTGAGAAAATAATTTTATATTTATAATGAATTTGAATAAATATTATCATAAAGATAAATAATTTATTTATTTAATATATACAATATAGATGTCAAATCGAATATCATTAAAAGATGATTAATTTGATATATTATATATGTAAAATCGATAAGAAATACAAAATTTATCAACTTTTAAAATACATTTACAATTCAATAGTTAATTAAAGGAAACAATCAAAAGTCAGGGATATATTAGTCACTTAGTGTCTCACTATGTCAAATACAAAGAATTAAAAGGTTATATTAGTACAAGTGATATTAAAATATCTAAGTTAGCTAAATAATATTTATAGAATGTCCGAACCTAGATTATTAATTATTAATATATCAATATTATTTGTACAAACCTTTTACGAAGCATGATTAATCGCCAAGTAGGATTCCGAAGCACCAGAAGCAGCCACGTAGGCTCAACGCATTCGAGAATTATATATAGAGGGGATAAGATACAATATTCAATAAAAGTTTTACAATACACGAAAATAAATATAAATAATGTAAATATCTAAATACATACACGACATGTAGAATAAATAAGTCAAATTGCAAATCTGAAAATATAATAAAAAAATATAAAATATATTTCACTAAACATGTACATAAATATCTAAATACATACACGAAAATAAAAAAAAAATATACGTTTCAAATTTTGAAAATTCAAATAATTTGGCTTACAGTTTTATCATGCAGAACCAACTCGAGATATGATTTGTATGTGTTGTCCCAGTTTTGGAAAAACATTCTCACAATTCGAACTTTGATCATAGGTCTATTAGACCTATTGACTTGTTTGATTAATCCAAATCCTTGATTCGTTGTTTTGAATAAACGACTGATTAGAGATATTTTTTGTTCGCATGAGGTTGATAGTGAGAAAGATGATGGCTCGATATTTTGAGATTTGTAATTTATAATGGGTAGAGTATGTATATATATTGTTGTTAATATTTTTATTAGAAAATCTGAATTTGAATATACAGAAATCGGTTTGAACAAAATCATAACTGATTTATATACAATTAGATAATAAATAAAACCTTTTCTATTTTAGTAAAGATTTTACGTAGTTTTTTTACTTATCGGATGTTATGAGGTTTTTTTTTTTGTTAAACCGATTTTATGGGATATAATAAAAATACAATTAGAGAATTGAACAAAATCAGAATAAATTTTCATACAATTAGATAATAAGAAGGAATTAGATAAGGAAACGAAGAAATTAAATAAGGAATTTTGAATCTGCATTTTTTTTAGTATAGATAGACTTTACGTACAAATTTTGACTTCACCGATTTTATGAGATTTGTTTTGACAAAATCGATGTTAATATGGAATAAGACAAATAAATAAAGTCTTTTTTATTTTAGTAAGGATTTTACGTCCTTTTTTTTACTTATCAGATGTTATGAGATTTTTTTTCTTAAATTGATTTTATGGGATAGAAGACAAATAAATAAAATAATTAAACAACAACGCATTAATTACGTTGACTTTTTAACCTACTAAATTTGGTAAATATGATACCTTATTATATAAGTATAGATTTTGATTGTTTTTGCTCACTCGATTTTATGGGATTTTTTATGTCAAGATAAGAAGGATTAAAAATTAGAAGTTCAACATAAATTTATAAGAAGGATTTTTTTATGGGATTTACGTACAGAATTTTTTATGTTAAGATTTATAAGAAGGATTTTTTATGTCGGCATAAATTATAAATGCATTAATTACTATTTGATAAAATTAGAAGTGCATTAATTAAGTTTGACTTTCTACCTATTATATTTAGTAAATATAATCTCTTTTAATATAAGTATAGATAACTCTGTCGGAAAAAAAAAATAATTATTGTTGTAATATGTATACCAATTTCACAAAGTTAACACTGACCAACAAAAATAATTTAGTCAATAGAACATTAAAATAATAATGTTTTAGACTCTCGAAATGCCAAAAAAAAATGATAAATGTCAATTTTCAATGGTAAAATGTTACGCAACTTTAGATAGACTTGACTCATCTATTTTAATTAAAAATAATAATTGAAATATTACGATACTATACATATTCATTCATGCTTAATTTATTTATCCCCCAATTAAAAAAAATAAATAAAAGTATTTATTCATTTCCCTTTTGTCTATACTTTTTCTTAATACAAATTTTTTTAAATTATAAATCCAGCACTACAATGCGTGTCTTTGTAAAATTTAACATATATTTCACATATTTGTAATAATTAATAATTATTTTACTATTTTAATATTAATATATTTATGTAGATTGAGATAAGTATCCAACAACTTTCAGACTGCCAAACAGTAGTCATACGCGCCTCCATTAAAAATTTAAAACAAGTCAGGTCAAGACACGTAAGCAGACATTAGCCGAGAAGCCAGCGGGCAAGCCGAGCTGAGCCGAGCCGAGCTCCCTTTCCGACCCTCCAAA